CGTCCCTCCCATGTAGTAGCCCTCAAAATATTCTCCGTATCTGTGACTTTATTTCTGCTTTTGTTGTTGTTGATGTTTATTTTGTCCTTTAGATTTCACATGTATGTGAAATCATGTGATACTTGTCTTTCTCTACCTCACTCATTTTATTCAGTACAATACCTTCTAGGTCGATCAAGGCAATATCTTTTTTCATCCCCTTACTTTTAGTCTGTGTGTGTCTTTTAATCTGAAGTGAATCTCTCGTAGGCAGCATATGTAGGGGTCTTGTTTTCTTATCCATTCAGCCACTCTATCTTTTAGTTGAAGCACTTAATTCTTTTCCATTTGAAGTACTTGTTGATAGGAATGTAGTTATTACCATTCTTTATTCATGTTTTGATACATGTTTTTTCTTCTATAAGAAGTCCCTCAACAATTTCTGTAATACTGGCTTGGTGTTGATAAATTCCTTTAGCTTATTTTTGTCTGGGAAGCTCTTTATCTGTCCTTTGACTCTAAATGATAGCTTTACCAGATAAAGTATTCTTGGTTGTAGTTCCTGGGTTTTCATCATGTTGAATATTTTGTGTCAAGCCCTTCTATCCTGTGTAGTTTGTTTTGAGAAATCAGCTGCCAGGCTTATGGGTTCTCCCTTGTAGGTAACTAACTGCTTTTCTCTTGCTGCTTTTAAGATTCTCTCTTTGTCTTTAACCTTTGGCATTTTAATTATGGTGTATCTTGGTGTAGGCCTCTTTGGGTTCCTCTTTCTTGGGACTCTATGATAGTTTCCTGGGGTTGTATGTCTACTTCCTTCACCAGGCGAAGGCAGTTTTCTATCATTATTTCTTCAAATAGCTCTTCAACATCTTGTTTTCCTTCAAGTACCCCTATGACATGGATGTTTTTGCATTTAGTAGTGTCTCAGAGGCTCCTTAAATTAGGGGTCTAGTTTTGGCTTCTTTTTTCTTGCCGTTCTGATTGAGTGTCCTTGGCTTCCCCATTCTTTGTATCAGCTGTTCTATCCTCTTCTTTATCCACTCTGTTTATTCCATCTAATACACTCTTCATCTCAGATAATGTATTCTTCATTTCTGACTGATTCCCTTTTATAATTTCCATCTCCATTTTTATGTTTTTTTATCTCTTTGTTAAAGTTCTCACTGAATTCATCTACACTTCCCATAAGTTCACTGAGCATCTTTATAACCAGCGTTTTGAACTCTGTATCTGTTGGATTGCTAGACTCCATTATTCCAGGATCTCTGTTCTGTTCTCTTATGTGGTTTCTGCTTCTTTGTCTCCCTATTTTGGCTGCTTTTCTGTGTCTGTTTTTATATACTAAGCAAAGCTTCTAAATCTCCCGGTCTTATTAGCGTGGCTTTGTATGTTAGGTGTCCAGTGGCACAGTCCTGAGAGGGGTTTAGCTGCAGGCCAAATTTAGCCCCAGCCTGTGCCCCTCCAGGGCTACCTGTTAAGATTCAGTAAGCAATCCAAAGATGCTGTCCTATAGTTCCCGCGGAAGGCCACACCAGAAACCGAAGCCAGATGCCACCAGTGTGAGTCTTGGTGCTACTCAGCAAGGAACACTGGACTCTCCGAGGACTCAACTGGATGTGGCTTAGGTGGGGCCTCAAGTTGGGGTAGGCGGAGTTTCAAGGAATCCTCTGGTCGGAAAGACCTCTGTTATCCAGATTGGTGATGCCTCAGCTATGGTGGCGCTGTGTCCAAACACTGGGTGTGGGGGAAGGCTCAACAGAGGAACAATGGATACCACGGGCACTTCTATCTGGGAGAGAGCCTCGCTTCTGGCCCTCACTCCAACAACTCAGCATTCTCCTGTAAGTCCCTGTTGCCCGCTGTGCAGCCAACCCATCACTGGTGCTCAGAATGAGCAGGTCCGTCACCGTGAAAGACCATTCACAGACATGGCCCCTTTAAGAGGTATCTGCAGCCTCTGTCCCACTCAGCCGCTTAGGACCGGGCAGACTTGCGTTTTTGCCTCCTCCCACCTTTTACCATTGCAGGGTAATTAATTATTTCTCTCTCTAGTTGTAGTGCTTCTGTTTGTCTAGATCTCTGATGACTTTTCTTGCCATTTGCTCTGTTTTTCTGTCACAACTTTGATGTGGTTGCAAGAGGGATGAACAAAGACTCTATCTGTGCCATTTTTTCCTGTCTCCTCAACCTATCCATTTTTATTTAATGTAATTACTGATTAGGATTTTTATCTCCCATTTTGCCATTCATTTCCTATGTCTTTTGCGTTTTTTTCTGTTCTAACTTCCATTACTGCCTTCTTTGAATTAGATGGATATTTTCTAGTGTATCATATTTGTTCTCGTGTCATTTAAAAATATACATATATATTTTAGTTATGTTCTTAGTGGTTGCCCTGAGGTTTACAATTAGCACCTTAGCTTATAACATTCTAATACAAATTAATAGCAATTTAATTTCACTAGTATATAAAACTTTGTTCCTGTATAGCTCTGTACACTTTCTCTTTGTGCTTTTATTGTCATACAAATTGCAGTTTTTATAGATTGTGTGCCTATCAACACTTATTGATAATTACTATGTTATGCAGTTGTCTTTAACTCAGATAAGAGAAAAAAGTTACTAACCCCCAAAAATGCATTTATACTGTTTCTTACATTTGCCTACATGGTTACCTTTATATTGTTCTTTATTTCTTTTTGTGAATTTGAACTACTGTTTAGGTCCCTTCATTTCAGCCTGAAAGATGTCCTTTGGTATTTCCTTTGGAGAAGGTGTGTTAGTGACAACTTCTCTCAGTTTCTGTTTGAGTATCTCTTAATTTCTCCTTCATTTTTTGAAGGATACTTATGATGCTTATAGAACTCTTAGTTGAAAGTTTTATTCTTTCAGCACTTTGAAACTGTCATCCCACACCCTTCTGGCTTCCACGGTTTCTAATGAGAAAAGAACTGTTAATCTTATAGAAGATCTCTTGTGTATGAGTTGCTTCTCCCTGCTTTCAAGATTCTCTTTGTATTTGACTTTTGACAGTTTGACAATGCTGTATCTTGGTGCGGATCTCTTTAAATTTATCCTACTTGAAATTTGTCGAGCTCAAATATGGAAATTTTTTAAATCACATTTGAGAAGCTTTTGCCCATTATGTTTTCAAATATTCTTTTAGACCTCTTTACTCTCTCCTTTTCTGAGACTCTCGTTATGTATCTGTTGCTGTGCTTGATGGTGTCCTACAGGTCTCCGAGGACATCTTCATTTTCCTTTTCTATTTTCTTTTTGTTCTTTAGAATGGATAATCTGTTGACTTATTGTTAAGCTCAACGATTCTTTATTTTCTCTGTTCAGATCAACTGTTGAGCTCCTCTAGGGAGTTTTACATTTTACCTATTATATTTTACAACTCCAGAATTTCTATTTGACTCTTTTAAAAATAATTTTTATTTCTTCATTGATATTCCCAATTTGGTTAGAGTTTATTTTCATACTTTCATCTAGTTCTTTAAACGTGGTTTCTTAAATTCTTTAAACATTTAGAATAGCTAATTTAGAGTTTTTGCCTACCTAGTCCAATGTTTGGGTTTCTTCAGGGATAATTATTATTAATTGCTTTTTCCTCCTGTGTATGGGCCATACTTTCATGTTTCTTTGCATGTCTTTTAAAATTATTTAATGTGACAACTCTGGAAATCAGATTCCGGACATTTAAAATTATTTAATGTGACAACTCTGGAAATCAGATTCTCCCCTCTTAGGGTTTCTTTTTATTGCTGCTTGTTATAGTAATTTTTTGTTTAGTGACTTTTCTGAACATATTCTTTAGTCTATATTCTTTATTGTATGTGGTCTCTTATACTGTTTGGTATTTCCTTTGGAGAAGGTGTGGTCAGGTAATGATTGGTTAGAGATTTTCTTGGATGCTATGCCTGACCATGCTTAGTGGTCAGGTAATGATTGGTTAGAGATTTTCTTGGATGCTATGCCTGGAACCAGTAAGTCTCCCAGTCTTTGCCAAGGGGCTCTGTGTGCTTATGGGGACATACCTTTAACATTTAGTCAGTTACTTACAACTCTGCCTTAGCCTTCACTTTCTGTTTGTGCAGAGACTCCAAATCATCCAGGGGTAAAAGCTTAGGACCTTCTCAAGCAATTCCTTAGCATATTCCTAGTTCAATATGGGTGGCCTTCTAAATTCCCAGAAATGTGTAGGAACTTTTTAAAACCCATATAGGCATTTCATTCCCCGGCTTTTCCTTTTAGGAGTTTGGATAGTGTATTATTTACCCCAACTATTATTCACTGCTTCAGGGAGCCACAAAGTGCCTATAATTTTTTTCAACAAATATCCCTCAGGGAAAAGCCATTTTATACTAAGTGAACTACAGGTCAGGTGAAATACAGTCTGCAAGTGGCATCAGTGAACCACCTGATAGGCCAAATAATGACATTTCTTTGAGAGTGAGGCTTTAAAAGTGCTCTAGCCCATTCTTTTCTCTTCAGCCTGTTGGTTTTTAATTAAGTCTGCTGCAGAGCCAGAGAGCAGGGGATGGGACTAAGGCAAGTTAAAACATTCTGGACATTACAATGTTGTTGTTCTTACTGAGATTCAGCTTTTTTTCTTGAGTAAATACTACCTATGTTGCTCTAAGTCTTTGATTAATTTCCAGAATTCTGAAAATGTTGATTCTGACAATTTTTGCCAGTTTTCCTGTTGCTTTTGTGAAGGAGAGAATTTTCAGGGGTCCTTGCACTTGCACCACCAGTTTTGCTGGTTCCAATTCATATATTTTAATGCTCTTTTCTGTATGTTTGTTGTTTTCCTCAAACATGTGCATATTAAATAAAAATTTTTGTAAATTAGGGTTGCAGGAAGCCATGTAGAGCAGGCACCAAGTTAAAGGCTGTGGATTAGTGAGAATGATGCAAACCTCTGGTGGACAGAAGGGCCTGAAGACTTGCGGGGTGTTGGCCCCATTGGGGTCAGGAATTCTGCCCTACAACCCCTGTTGCTTTGTGTCTCCCAGGTTAAGGCTACCAGGGGCTTAGCTGTGTTCACATGGATGGGACAGAGACCCGACAGAGGAGACCAGAGGAGCTAGTGCTGCCACACACCCTTAGCACAGGAAGACTCCCTACAGTCTCAGGAGATGGACTTCTATGTGTCCCGGAAAGCCAAAGGGTGGCTTCTAAACCGCTGGGGACCGAGCTCAGCAGGGAGACCACCTTGTCCATTGGCCTTCAGGTGACAGTGCCCTTCATGTTTGCAGGCCTGGGACTGTCCTGGGCTGGCATACTTTTGAACTACTTCCAGGTAAGGGGGACCTCAGTGGTGGTGGGGGCACTGTCTACTGTTGACCTGGAGAGCAGACAGCTGCACTGTGGACTCGGCTTGAGGAATACGAGGCAAGGCCTTCTATTCTCAAATACAACTTTTCTGTAAGTCACGTGAGGTTCTTTTAGCCACTGATGTCAGAGACTAAATTTAACCTAAGTTAAGCTTTAAAATAATTTATTAGCGTATATAATTTAATTGTCTAAGGAGTTGAATTTCAGGCCTGGCATAATCCAGGTGCTTAAATAATACCAAGATGCTGGCTCTTTCTCTATTTCTTAGCTCTGTTTCATTTTCAGGCAAGATTCTAAACCTAGAGCTGGGGGAGAGTAGCCTTTGGCAGTCTATCCTTTGTATGTATGCTTTAAAAAGAAAGAGAGAGAAAGAGGTCTCTTTGTCAATATCCAGACTAGTTTCAAAAAATTAACTCTGATGTCAAATGTCCACTCCTATTCCAATTATCAATCCCTGAGGGATGGCATTCTCTGTTCAGCCAACCCGACTTATATTGTCATCACTCTTTGAGAGGAGGCAGGGGCCCTGATTTATACCTTACCAAATCCCATAGAGTGAAGAACTGGAGTTAGCTATCAGACAAAATAGTTACCCATGTACCATACCTTTCCTGTTCTTCCACCTTCAAAGCCCCATTTCCTTCATCAACATGTTTTTCAAAAGTCTTCCCTGGAAAAGCATAGTACCCAAAATTCTTTAAGTTATTACTTGCTTGATCTTTCCTATTAGTTGGCAACCAGCTAAGAACAAAGATTGTCTTGAGTGGGGCAGGCTTGGAGAAGCAGGGCTCACATGCCCATCAGTCTCCACCTCTGCCTTACTCACTGCTACAGGGGCTCTGTGCCAAAGGGACCCTGTGCCCACAGTCTCTGTGCCCCACCCCTCACTGATTTGGAAACAATCAAGGTTTGAGTCCCACTCTGCCACTTAGCTGTAAGGCTGGGGGTTTTAATTTTTTTAAGCAACACTTAAAAATCAGGAGATTTCATGTAAAAATCCAAATTCCTATTTCTCTTGAAAACTTGGCAACTCATAAAACATTGGACCCACATTCCCTCATGGCCATCATCAGTGGTTGCTGCCCGCTCTAGGTGTCTGTGTTCTCTGTTTGCCACAGTCCCCACCATCCCACTTCACTGTTATCTGTCTGGCCCCGACTGGAGTTCTCAGTGACCCTCCCAACACCCTAGCTGTCCAGTTCATAACATCACAGCACTGGTGACTGCCAGCTCCATTCCCAGGTTCCACCTAGACCTTGTCAGGCCCCATGATAGTTATCTCTCAAATTGGAGTCCCTATCCAAGTCCTGCTCAGTTCTATTCCCTATGTTTGGGCTCTCTGTGACTTCTAGATTCTCAGCCGCCTTCTTTATCCCAGTGACCTGGTCCTCTAGCCCCTTTTAGCACGTGGCAGTCAACACCGCTCTAACCTCAAGGGCACCTCAGCACTTGGCTTCCATGTATGAGGAGTTCCACATCCCAAAGATTTTCTCCCATGGATTCCCTCCTCCCCATCCCGCTGGCACGCCTCACGCCAGCCTCCTCACCACCCTCCTTACTTTTGTTCTCACTCCCTACAACTCATTCTCAATACTAGCAGTTTTCAAGAAGTCTATTTTACTGAATGTTTCTTTTAGTATAACATCACTGAGCATGTTTCCCCTCACACACATGCACATTTAGATACTCACATGTATGTATATAGCACATCTGTATATTTATTTTGACTTATATATATTTATATACACATTCATATACATAAATCCCCTCTACATTAGTTTAGAAATTATATACACACACAGACACACACACGTTTACACATAGGTTTATAAATTACATGTGGAGAGGCAATATACTGTGTTGCTTAAGAGCCCAGAATCTGGGGCTAAAGTAATTGGGTTTGAGTTTGACCTATGTCACTTACACATGTTGCTCTCTGTTTCCCAGTTTTCTAGTCTGTAAATTAAAAATGACCCTATACTGTTGTTAAGAGGACTGTAAAATGCTTGTAACACTCTGCCTGGCATTAGAAAGCACCCAGTGAGGGTTTATTGCTGCTATTCTAGTTGCCACTGATATTCTATCATATATAGTGCTGTGCAGATGTTTAAGAACTCATATGAAAGGGTAAAAATTAGTCAGGAATATCTATTTTGGCTTTTCTTTCATGTGCCATTGGATTGTTTGCACCCCATGTGGGGGTGCGGGGGGTCACTGCCTGAATGCTATGTCAGATGGATCTCTACAATGCACACCTTTCTGACTTTTAAAATCTCTGTTGAGTTCTCTATTGCAAAAGGAATAAAATCCAAACTCTTAAAATGGACATCTAAGTGTCCTGGAGTCACCTTGGCTGTATCAGTTAGGTTGATTTCAGCCACAAACACTAGAAAACCTGACCTATAGTGGGTTAAATAAGAAAGAAATGTGTCATCTCCCAAAATGAGATTTCCAGGACAGGATAATTTCAGGATTAGAAAGTGATGTCATCACTGACTAGTGATGCCTCCAAGGACCCAAGATCTTT